GTCGTGCTATCTATGCACGTATCATCCCAATTTGTGCATATCTCACACTATCCTACGGTTACCTACTATTAAGGATTCTCGACAGAATCCGAAACGTCAGAAAAAATCTTATTCTAGTGATCCTATCTTCTTCTTCTAAATTGCTTCCTGGAACTCGCATGTTCGCTTCTATCCGTACTCCAAGTCTGTTTTGAGCTTCTTGCTTCTTCTGATTCTGTACCCAGTAGTAACGCGTACATCAAACCCCAATGATAACAACGATCAATGCAGTACGGTACTATCAAATAGACAGTGAATAATAAACGCAGCACAAATCTTAATGATGGATATACGTAGTCAAGAACAAGGGAGTCGGCCAAATATCGCCTGACTCTAGACAAGGGAACGATGTACGTTCAACAACGCCATGCGGGTGCAGAATGAAGCCAGTCCTGGGTGAGCGTATGTGTCAGTAGGAGAGGGGACGACCACTGATTTTATGTGACTTCAGGAGTCAGTTCATATGGCGTCCGATTCGTGTGGACATTGGCCAGGAAGGGGTGTTGTGTACAGAGGCCCAAAACGGGTCGGCCGGGGGAAGAGGTGTCCAAGGCTCTCGGAATGCGTCGGCTGGAGGGGGGAGGGGTGGCCCTCGGATTAGTCGCGACTTGCTGCATGCGAAGGGAAACTGATTCAAGGGCGTTCAAGTTAGTCAGGCACAACAGCTGTTTTCCCGCGGAGGCCTAAGAGAATGAGGGTGACGTATTCAAGTGGAAATTTTGCAATCGTGACTGTTTTGGCACACATGTGCCTTCGAGTGGAAATGGGTCAAGAGTGGAGGGTGGCCAGCATTCTTAGAGGAAGGGAGTTGACGGACTCCGAAGTATGTTTACTTTACTAAACACCATCTTTAGTTTATTTTTTAATCTTTCACGGCTTGCAACGGCATGACACGTGTCATGGTTCCAGAAGTGCTGGTGTCCCGGAATCGCAGGGCAATGAGCATAAAGACTTCATTTTCTCTGTACTTCAGCGATTTCAGTACACTGTCTTTTGCTATGTTCCCATTCCTCCCCACTTGGCGTGTCCTCCCTCCTCACCCATAATGCGCTCAGCCCTTTGAATCACTCTTCCGGTAATGGGGGCGGTTTCACTAACTACAAAGATCCTCGCATAATTATCGATTTCTATCACGCGGGATGCCAACCATTCGCATTGCTTTCTCTACTTTGGAACTTCCATCCCAGCTAATCGTACTCGCGATTGAGCACAATCGGGAGTGGAATGCTCTTTGGGGTTGCTTTTCTTATTGGTCTGCTAGTATTACGCCGAGAGACGCCGCTGTGAGTTAAAAGGATTTAACTTCGTCCCTCGTTGTCAAACGATTTCAACGAATCGGCGAGTTGCAAGGGTTTTCATATTGGTGAAATGGAGAACGTTGAAAACAGGAGGTCACAAAAAAGAAGAATATGTTAGGAAAGCGACAAAGTGAAACTTGCAGCCAGAATTTAGCGGTGACTTTGATTATTAGGGTAAAGGAAGAGGCTTATCGAGCACCGGAAAAATTGGTTTATTGTCCTGAGCTTTAAAACTTACAGGAGTTCATCGTTAGAGGTGTGAACAGCAACAAAAAGCGGCAATCATAGGGAGCATACACAAATCACCCGTCAGTAGCGCACTTCTAGACGTGGCTGCAGATGACGTGACGCCAAATCGATACATCGATAAATCGAATTCAAGGCTTTAATCAGTTCTCGACTCGTCGGCTTGGCGCCGGCAAACAGAGCCCTGCGCCGTCACATCCAGAGGTGTGCCACTGACAGTTGCTTGGTGTATACCCCATATAATTGCTCCCTTTTTGTTGCTGTTCTTACCTCTGATGATGAACTTCTGCAAGAGTTTTAAAGCTCAGGACAACAAGCCAACTGTTCCGATGCTCGAAAAGCCTTCTCCTTGGAATGCGAACTTTCTCATCCAGTTTTATTAATTATTGTGCTAAAGACAAAGTGCATCATATAATTAATAAAAGTATGAGGAAGAAAAGATACTTAGAGGAGATATTTGTCGTCAGTGTGCAAACAAGAGCACCACAGTATCACTTCTAAAGAGAGAACGAAAATTCGCCACCCCCAGAACCTAACCAAACCACTTGAAATCTCAGTCCCCAACTAAATGCCACGCTTCTTCGTTTAAGTCGCACGGAATCTGACCAGCACGCTCCAATGACATTCAAAGTGGCCCAATCGATAAATACAGGATGCCGGGAGTTGACAGCATCGTGGCTGTCCCAAAAGTTGCCAAGAAGGGTGCCGTAGTCAAACGGCCGAATACCTACCAACTCGCGCCCTCCCCAAAATATGCCTTCTCTGCGCACCGGCAAGCCGTGCGGGATCTGTTACAACAGTTTGTGCAAGACATACTGGAGGATACAGCGAGCCCCAGCCGCGACGTTGCACTAATGACTGGGCTAACCAAGGTGAAAAATGAGATTATGCGCATGCAGTGTCAATTCTTTCCGCGGCATCGGATCGTGGTTCATGGCATAATTGGAGACGTGGGCCAGAACCCACCAACTGTCATTTACGGCAGCCAGTGCCTCGCCTCGCCTGAATGTGGTGATGACTGTGTGAGCGTTTCAACCAAGTCTGTCGAAAGATTCGCCTGTGTCAGCGTTTTCGGATCTT